TCCGCAAATCATTGCCCTTCTTTTTCCAATGTTTGTAAGATTTTTTATATACCTATACCCTATATATGGGAGGGTCTCCAAAGATTCATTAAATAATGAAAATACATGATGAAAAAATGCCCAAAACTTTAAATCAAAGCTTTATTGTCGAAATCTTTGTGCCGTTATTAAAAGGATTTTTTTTATTTAAAAATTGTTTTTTTTTTAATCTTTGTAAATTTTAGAATTTTTGCTGATAACGTGGGACCATAAATTTGTATGCGGCATTTGAGCGTTTTTTGTGCTTTTTTTTTTTTTTTTTTTTTTTTTGTGGGGGGGGTTTGGGGGGGGTCTTTTTTGTGGTTTTTTTTTTTCGATGAAAAAACATTTATTTGAAATTCTTACAAAAATCGATAAGCGTTGGATTTTAAGCAAAATTGCAGGAATTAATAAAATTATTTTGAAACCTTTCTTGATATAAATATGTTTTGCAGCTGTTACCTTCCCCCATTTCTTTAAATTAAAGAAATTTCGAGAAATTCTTTTTAGTAGCGCTCAATGTTTATATTAATAATAAGAAAAATTCTCGGAGAATTTAAATCATCATATTTTTTTGGTCAAAAAGTTATAAAAAATCTACTCTGAATCGTAAAATAAAAAAAATGTAATAAAAATAAGACATTATTTAATTAGAAATCTTTTCATGGCTTTTATGAATAAAATATATTACGGATATTATTGTTTCTCACAGACGAGATATGGCTTCCCTCTGTCTTTTCTACAAATATTTTTATGGCTACTGCTCTTAAGAGCTTTTTTTCCCTGGTGCCCCGACTATATGAACTTAAGCGTACTACTAGATTGGCATCTAGGTCCCGCCCTTTTACTGTTGAAAGAGTTAAATGTAACTGTCACTTTTACTCAGTTTCTATCCTCACACTTCCCGACATTGGAACTCCCTTCCTCTTACTTGCTTCACTGATAACTACAATCTTCAAAACTTTAAACGCAACGACAATCGCAATCTTCTGTTGCCTTGATCCTATATATAGATAGTTTACAAACGAGATTCCCAAGGAAAGAAGTGTAAAAATAAAAAAATACCGATAACACTTCATAGGCTTAGGAAGTCCAATTTCCTTAAAACCAGTTTTAAGAAAACGATGTTATCAATTTCAGTCGATAGTAATGCGAATGTTCGGTCAAATGCCGGATGTTTCTTGTACGGAAACGACTAATTTTTAACATTACCGTTACGTAGATATGGCAATTATGCTGACATAATATGGCTAATTATCGAGAGGGGTCGAAAATATTAAAATAATAACAGACACTGTTACTATCTATATATCCCTCCAATATTTCTTAATTTTTTTTTTGGTGGGGGATGATCTCCAAATAAATGACATTGTATCTATCATTTGAAATTCAGTTATTGTGGAGTCAATGCTAATGTACTAATCTTAAAGACTATTTCTACTCACCGGGGTCCTGTAATTTATTCTTTCAAGCCTAAGTATCGAGGTACGGTAGAGTAATGTATTGCGGTTCGGATTGAGGAATCGGAGGGCCGAGTTCGAATTTTAGTCGGGTTCATTACGTTCTAATGCCCTTGGAAAAGGCATGAAGCCATCTGAACCGGTGTATCGCATGAAAACAAATGGCAAGTTACTGCGGGAAAAAAATTTCTACCTAGAATCGAAAGAGACGTAATCGCTCAAGTGTGTATCACATATGACAATACTGATATATGAACAGATCTTTGTCCAAGGTTGCCTACCGTAAACCTTTGATTTACAAGGCCATTGAAAAGTGTAGTGGGCTCGATCTTTATCAACTTCTGTATCACGCTAGGCCAAGCTAATTATCAGTTTCGGACATCTATTGAATAGAAATGACTGAAAGCTACTTTTACGGGGATATATTGTGGTGATTTCGATCCTAAACAAGAACTCTGATATTCAGTAAGTATCGATGGAGTGAGTGCAAATGTTTGTAGCAGCCTATTTTTTTTTCGTTTTTTTTTTTTTTTTACCCGAAAACTAGAAAAAAAAAACGCTGGAAACTTTTGCATACATCTAATACATCTTTATTGGAAAATATGAGTTAACTTACCTAGAAGAATTTGAACCTATCTAGTTTCACAATATATTGTCCTTTCTTCCATCTCTGAGTAGATATATATTCGTTCTCGTTCAAGTTACGAAATTGGCGAGATTTCTTTCTGAATGTAAATTAATACTAAATTTCGAATCTCTAAAGTTCTGTCGTCTTTCCTCACGAGAGATTTGAGCTTGAATTTCTACTTAAAATTAAAATAGAATGATTCAAAGTATATGAAAGGAACCGTTGTATTACTCATAGAATATGAATTCTTTGGTTTTCCTGTGAATCAGTTAACGAGTATGCACTTACCAGAAGATAAAAATGACAACTCACTTGAATTTATTGTCTGGCTGTAACAATACAAGTTTTAAGTCAGGAGAAACATTAAATGAAATTTCATGCAGTGACTATAGATTATATTAGAAACTGACTTCGTCTTTGATAGCATTTTATAAATGTCACTGTCGACCGCTGAGTAGAAACACTAGGTGTCAAACATTGTAAAAAGCGAAAT